GCGGAAAATTATCCCAAAGCCCTTGCTAGCCTGAAGCGGGTGTACGATAATGATTGTCTTATTTTTTTTGACAACATATCGACACTTTTTAATTTGCAAAAAATTTCCCAGCCTTCAGCTACAGCCTTGAGAACCCTCATCGACACGGTCACAGCCTTGTATGACTCATTGCTGTCTATTGGGGATGATAGACGCATTACTAATGCCATTTTAATACATCTGGTAATGAGCAAGGACGATGCAGGAACTAAAAGAAAATGGGAAGAACAGTTAGATTATACTTCGCTTCCACTTTGGAGCGAATGTGAGGCGGCCCTCAACAGGCGTTACCAACACATGGTAGCAGAAGAGGCTTCCAAGCCTAAAACTGTTCCGCAGGCCCAATCTAACCCTAAGAAGTATGGAAATAGGAGTTTTTCGTTTGTCGCTGCCAGGAACGACTCTGTTCAATGCATGTATTGCAACTCAGCTGAACATCAGATTGGAAACTGCGCTTCCTTCGCAGCCCTGACAGTTCAGCAAAGATTCGATTTCGCTAAAAGAGCACCCTTATGCATTAACTGTTTAAGAAAGGGTCACACTGTCAAAAAATGCAAATCGAACAGATGTAGAGTGTGCAATTCCTCACATCACACTTTGCTACATATATATGCCCCAAACACTAATCTCGCGTTGCCACCTCCTTCTCAGCCCACGCTCATGCAGGAGTCTCCATCCACTTCGCATGTTTTGCATACGAATGCATCGGATCGAGTCATTCTTGCAACTGCTGTTGTGAGCGTCCAAACAAAAAGCGGCGAGTTTGTATTAGCTCGAGCCTTGCTCGACTCTGGTTCACAATTAAACTTTGTAACCGACGAGCTCGCTCAGAGGCTCAAAATTACAAGAGAGGACGTGTGCATGAGCTTGCGAGGCATTGGTGGAACTAATGCCCAAGCCACAAAAAAAATACACACGATTGTGAAGTCGCGAGTAGGGAACAGCCAATTGTCGTCCGATTTTTGGTTTATGAAAAATATTTCTGGTTATCATCCGGATCAAGCGGTGAACACCAGCGGGTGGAGGGTGCCTGAAAATATTCAGTTGGCAGATCCATTCTTCTTCAAGCCCCAAAAAATAGATATGCTTATCGGCGCTGAAACATTCTTTGAACTTTTATCGATTGGCCAGATAAAGCAGGGCCCTGAATTCCCCATCCTACAAAAGACAGTTCTCGGCTGGATAGTGTCAGGCAGATGTGCCTCTGAAAATAATAAAAACGCTGAAAAAATGGTACATCTCAGCTGCCAGGAGGAAGCGTTGGAGTCAATTGACACAACCCTGCAGAAATTTTGGTCTGTGGAGGACTTGCCGCCCAAGGCTAAAGTCCATACTCCTGAGCAACAACTCTGTCAACAACACTTTGAGAAAAATACTCAAAGATTGTCGTCCGGTAGATTTTCGGTTCGTTTGCCGTTTAAATCTGACCCAAATACTCTTGGTTCGTCATACGAAGTTGCGAAACGTAGATTTTTGTCGCTAGAAAGGAAATTGTCAAAGGACCCTTCGCTGAAGAAGATGTATATTGAATTCATGGAGGAATATGTTTCACTGGGCCACATGTCTTCCACCAATGACAAAATTCCGAATACTCCGCACTATTTCATTCCGCACCAATGCGTTTTACGGCCACAAAGTACTTCAACTAAGTTGAGAGTAGTTTTCGATGCATCGAGCCGTACTTCTACGCAGGTAGCGTTGAATGACATCTTGATGGTAGGCCCAACTATTCAAGAGGAGCTGTACTAGACTCTGCTTCGGTTTAGATTGCATAAGTTTGCCCTTGCGGCCGACGTCAAAAAGATGTATCGCCAAGTGATGGTGGACGAAGCTGATCGTAACTTCCAGCTCATAGTATGGAGACGAGATCCTTCTGAGTCCCTGAAAATCTTTAAGTTGAACACCGTTACATATGAAACTTCGCCAGCACCCTTTTTGGCGATTCGGTGTTTAATGCGGCTAGGAGAGATGGCGCAAGCAACTCATCCAAAAGCCGCAAAGGTTATTCAGAATGATTTTTATGTTGACGATTTGTTGACTGGCGCCGGATGCGTTGAGGACCTGCAAAGCCTTCGAGACGAAGTTTCTCAGGTCTTGCAAGAGGCAGGCTTTGAATTGGCAAAGTGGTTTTCAAACTGCCCAGAGTTATCCGCATCTGATAGCGCTGTAATGCCACTTATGGCAGACTCAGACGTAACCAAGACCCTTGGCGTGGTTTGGTTACCGGTTAAAGATTACTTTCAATTTCGGTTGGATGACTCTTTCCTGGATCTTCGCGCGACAAAACGAAATATTTTGTGACTGCTCGACTTTTCGACCCACTTGGCCTCTTGTGTCCTTTGGTCACAAAGGCAAAGATGTTGTTGCAGGAACTGTGGCTTCGAAAATTAGATTGGGACGAGTCGCTACCGATGCAGTTGCTCACGTCGTGGGAGACGTTTAAAGCGACGCTTCTGCAGCTGCCTAAAATTAAGGTATCGCGATTCGTCAACACAGATCCACAAGTCCCGATTCAAATACATGGTTTCGCTGACGCTTCCATGCGAGCGTATGGAGCGTGCATCTACGTTCGTACTCAAACTGCTGAAGGTTTGAAAGTGTCTTTATTGACCGCCAAATCGAAAGTAGCTCCCCTCAAGACGAAAACTTTGCCTCGCCTTGAGCTGTGTGCAGCTCACCTTTTAGCAGATCTCTATAATCGTGTCAGGCCATTGCTAAATTCTCCCATTGAGAATGTTTTCCTGTGGACAGACTCCGAGATCACTTTACACTGGATTAAAACCCATCCCTCGTCGTTGTCGGTTTTTGTTTCGAACCGGGTTGCAGAAATTCAGGAGTGGTCGGAGAAAGCAATTTGGAGACACGTTCCCACGAAAGTCAACCCAGCAGATATAGTGTCCCGAGGATGTGACGTAGAGGAGCTTACAACGTCCATTTGGTTCGGTGGGCCTTCGTTCTTGCTAGACTCAGAAAATAATTGGCCTGTAAATAAACATTTCGAACTGCAGGCTGATGTAATGTCGATGGAGCTACGCAAATCGGCAATAGCTCTCGTAGTCAGCCCAGAGCCAAATTATGTGCTTCAGAAAATAGAGTCCTTTTCGTCGCACCTGAAGCTTCTGAGAGTTTTCGTGTGGGTTTTTCGTTTTATTCAAAGGTGCAGAAAGGTGTCGAAGCCCTTTGAAAAAAGTATTTCGCCAAGAGAACTGGATTTCGCTTTTGATAAAATTGTCGAAGTTGTCCAATTTCACGAGTTCAGGGACGACATAAGCAAAATTCGGAAGAATAAACCGGTAGCAACGAATATTCAAAAGTTAAACCCTTTTTTTCAGGAAAATAAATTGGATTGGTGCTCCTCGACATTGCTACGAGTTGGGGGTCGGTTATTGAATGCTCCTATCCCGTACGAAGCCAAATTCCCGTTGTTGCTGTTAAAAGCTCACAGTTCGTCAGATCCTATGTGTCATACCTGCACGTTACGAACTGTCACGCTGGCCCACGAGCTCTCGTAAGTCGTCTGCGCGAGAAAATCTGGCTAGTTAATGCTCAAGAAGTCTGCCGACGAACAGTTCGGTCGTGCATGCGCTGCTTTCGCTGTAAGCCGCAACTTTTGACGCAAATTATTTGAAACTTGCCAGCAGATAGACTTCGAGCTCTCCGCCCGTTCAATATTTGTGGCGTTGATTTTTGTGGTCCCTTCAGCACAACGTATCGTATCCGTACAAGTCGTACGTGGCCTTGTTCGTCTGTTTTGCGTCCAAAGCGGTCCACTTAGAATTAGTGTCTGACCTAACCACTGATGCGTTCTTGTTGGCATTTCAAAGGTTCGTGAGTCGTCGCGGGATTCCGGAGAAGGTGTGGTGCGACAACGCCACCAATTTCGTCGGCGCACATGAGAGAGTTCCGAGCCCGTCTGGAGGAGCAGGGGGGCGGTATCGAAACATTCGCATCAAAAAAAGGATGCGAGTTTGCGTTCATACCGCCCAGAGCACCGCACTTCGGCGGACTATGGGAGGCAGGTGTGAAGTCTGCAAAGCACCTGTTCCTTCGGACGGTAGGCCAAGACCTCTTGACCGCGGAGGAGCTCGGAACTCTGCTCACCAGCGTGGAGGCCGTGCTCAACTCCAGGCCCCTCGGCGCTCTAAGCAGCGACCCGATCGACGGCGAGGCCCTGACCCCCGGGCACCTGCTCATCGGCGGCCCTCTTCTCAGCCTGACCTGCTTGCGACGATGGCGAGGTGTCTCGTCTCTCAGGCACAGGTTTTGGCAGCGATGGTCCCGGGAGTACATCTCCAGCCTCCAACAGCGGTCCAAGTGGCACCAGGGGGAGCCCAACCTCGTCGTGGGAGCGCTCGTCGTCGTCGCAGAAGACAATCTTCCGCCCCAGCAGTGGAGGATCGGACGAGTGGTAGCGGTGCACGCCGGCGCCGATAGCAAGGTTCGCGTGGCGGACGTCAGGACGCAGGACGGCGAATATCGGTGAGCTGTTCACCGACTGGCCCTGTTGCCCGTTCTGGGCTGAAGGACGTCGTCCCTTCAGAGGGGGCGGTGTTTGCGCACTCAGCGCTTGTATGTAAATCACTAGTTTTAGGGCGGGAGCGGGAGCCAATAAAGCTTTCGTCTGTTCGCTCTTGCGAATTCGCCCCGTCTCTCGCCACCGTAGCATAAGTTAGGTTCTAAGAGAAATTATTGAAATATAATTGTTAGTGATCCATCGAACATCATCGTAGCCACTCCTTTTCGTCGCGCTTTCGACATAGTTTCACAATTTTTCGCAAATTAAAATCGCCAGAACTACTGCGTTCACAAAGTTTTTCGCGTTGTTAATACAAAATAGTATTAAATTTTCACATACCTTTATCATGTTAAAGCGCTTGCCGATAGGACGTTTATATCTTAAAGCTTCCATAGGAACAATTGTGAAAAGCTTTTTAAATATCCTTTTTTTTCTATTTTTTCAGCCGTTAATCGAAGGGTGGAAGAGTATGTAACAGGTAGAAATAAGTGTTCCCGACCCCATAAAAAATATATATTCTTGATCAGGATCAATAGCCGAGTCGATCTAGCCGTGTCCGTCTGTGCGTCCGTCTGTATGAACGTCGAGATCTCGGAAACTATAAGAGCTAGTGATTTGGGACTTGGCATGCAGACTCTGGTAGTTCCCAGGCAGCACAAGTTTGCGGAGCCACGTCCACTCTAACGCCCACAAATCGTGAAAGTATGTACTGTCGCTCTAAAACCTGTTAGAACAACCTTCTAAGTTGTTGTTGTGTTTGCGTTTCGGTCATATCTATCGGTAAACCCAATTTTTAAAATCGAGCTAATATTTTAGGAGTTAAAATTTTGAATTAAAATGTACCAACTTTTATTTATAATTCATCTTTTCATCTTCATCTTTTTGTTTTGCTCTATCTGACCTCTTCAAGAATAACATCGCAAGAGAGAGCATGATATTCATTGGGTATTTCAGCGTAAGCAACGTGCAAGCTTTCCTTACAACATTTTTTAAGCTTATTAAAAACAAGTTTTAGTGCAATAAAAGTGCTTAATATTTTAAATAAAGGTATTAATTTCCATTTTACAACAAAAAGTATATGTAGTATGTTTTGTGTTTTGTGTAAATCAATATTGTGTTTAGTATATAATTGTGAGCTTTCTTGGTTTGTCTTTTCTATGTTTGGTTATAGTTTTAGTTGTGATGGCATTCTTCGGCTCAAACAAATCTTTTTGTATAATATTCTTAAGCATTTTACGGACATAAGTGCCGAAATGTGCTTAGCAGCTTGCAATTATACGAAAAGGTAACCCAACATCAATCTTTAAAAGAATTAAAAAAATATGTGAAAACCAAAAACGTTAAAATTTTTTTTTCATTTTTCCCGATTGATCCTATGAAAGCTATAGGATATAGTGTTACGATCTGACCAATTCTTGTTCTATATATTTATAACATTTTTCTAGATTTTTGGTACAAGTTTCAAAGCGATAGCCCTCTAGAACCATTTATGGCCGCGGCTCCCATACAAGCCCGACCACTGTGCACTGGTCGGTCGCTGTTTGTCGATGCAAGCAGACTAGAGAGAGAGAAAGAGAGAGAGAGAGAGAGAGAATTACAGAAGTGTTAGCGGGTGGGTGGGGGTGCTGCACGCTCTTAGCTGTTGGCTATTCAGTTCCACATATTGCGCCACCTAAACATCGATTGTTTTCTAGGGGAAATACTTAGGCTGACTTACGGGTATCTAATAGTCGGGGAACTCGACTATAGCGTTCTTTCTTGTTTTTAAATATTTTATATAGTATTGCAAAGGTTCTTCGAAACTAACGATTTGTAATTTGAATATTCAAGGTCCATTTCCATTTACGGCAAGAAAATGGATAAATTAAGGTGTATATTTGTCAACTCAAACGTCGATATTGTGTGTATCAGAAACTTTTTTACAGTCAAACTCTAAAGATTTATGATAGTGACCCGAAATACAAATAAATACATTTCCCTAAAAATCTTAAGTAACACGAAAAATAAATCGATATTTTTATGTATCGATATACAAAATTACGTTTTATCGAATTGCGGATTTATTTTTATAATAAAGATTTTCTGATATCTTAAGCAAAGGTTAACGCAGGCCAACAGAAGTTTTGTGCAAGGCCCAACCCCGTATAATTATGATAAACAAGGGTTTTCTATGCATAGTTTCTCAGTACATTTATATTCAATCAGCTCTGGTACAAGAAGTACAACAAAAAGTCGTATAAGTCTTCTATATGATCGTCTTTGTGCATTCCTAAATTACGCTGAAGCGAAGTAATGCACATAGTTTGTGAATCTTCACTGGGAAAAACTTATGAAAAATAATTTTTAAAAATCCAAAACAACGTGAGAAATGTCTCAAATGACAGAAGCAACGCCTTTCTATGTCCAAAAACAAATTCTTGGAAGAAAATATTTTTATTTGATTTTTAAACGATGTGCACAAATTGTAATTTTTCAATTTAGCTGTATGTTTGAAAATTAAAATGCACATATATTCGCTTTTACTTAAGTAAGGAAGGACATTAATGACCCTATAAAAATGTAAAAAGGCCTTTAATTTGCACAATGCATACCATAATTTGTTGACCATTCTTAAAAATATAACTAAAAAAATTTTTTTTTCTTAATGATGAATTGTGGTCTAGAAATTTTAAAAAATCGAACTTTTTTTCCCATATTTTAAATGTTTTAGACTTTAAAAATATGATCCTTAATAGAGTTTTCAAAATTCGAATTATTTTAGGAGTTAAAGTCTATTTTGTGACGTGGCGTCCGAGCCATTGAAAATGTTTTCTAAACTTTAAATGCGTTTTCTTGAAACGACTTTTTTTGAGGTGGTTGACATGATATTTCAAGTTCTACTGAACCGTTTTCTTCAAAATTTGGTATATATCTTGCTTTTATTTAAATATTCGAAAAGGGCGTCTAAAATTTAAAAAAAAAAAATGTCTTGTTTTCAAGTCGACGCTGTTTTGTTATTTTAAATTATTTTTTTTAAGTTATCAACCCGATAATGACATCTCAACTAATGAAGAAGTTGTTTGATTTTTTTTTCCGATCTATACAAAGGTTGAAATTATGTCAACCAGGTCGATTTTTTCGAAGGCTCCTTACACAGGCTTGTCAATATAAAATGTCAAAAAAAAAAAAACATAAAAAACTGAATAGGAAAAATTTTTCCATTTCCTTTTTATACAACTTAAAAAAATGCCTAAAATTAAGACTTCTAGACTAGAATACCTCGTTAAATTAAAGATAGCCCAAATAGCAAAGCTAATGGGAAACTATGCTTAAAAATGCCTAATTTATCTTAACCAAGTGCCATTAAGGCTGCAAAACAAAAAAAAAACAAAATTTTTCGGGCTGTATTTTTTAGATTTTGATTTATTTATTTGTATTGTACTTATATTTAGTGCGCCAGTCACAATAGATGGCAGACAAAAATAAAACTTTTAATTTATAGCTAGTTATGCTAAAATTTAAGCTTATAACATGGTACACGTTTCTAAGCTGTTATTAAAATATTTGATTTTAGTTTTTGAAGTGTGTCAATAACGCGGATTTGAATTTTGGTACACTCTTAATTGTTTTGTAGAGATGTGCTGATTGTTTTGAGGCGTTGAAGTAGCTCGATCCAATAACGTACAGCGTAGACAAATAATTGATTTTCAAAAACTTAGTGTATATCTATAACATATTAGATTATGCTCTGGTATGACCCCATAAGGCACCCATATTCTTTACCTACCTTTTGTGAGATTGTTTCACTCCATTTCAAACTTGTATTAAAAGTTAATCCTACGTTGCTCACTTTGTCTAAAAAGCCAATAGTTGAATTTCTAATCTTAAGTGGCGCTAATACGCTCGTGTCTACCTCAGTTTTATGTATTACGACGCGTTAGTTTTACTAGAGCTTAGCTCAATTTTTCCTTGACCAATTATTTAACATAGTTAGCTCATTATTGACTACAGAAACTCATTCATCAACTTCACAATAAATGAGATACATACTTTTAAACATCGTCTGCATGCATACGGACTTTACACGAAGATATTACACAAAGAATTCGATAAACATACGTGGTGACAACAATGGTCCTAGCACTGAACCCTGTGTGACACGCCTTGTCATCACTTGGAAGGATGAGCTCTCCGTCTGCGTATTGAACTCAATAGTTTTGATAATTTGGTGATTAACGGTGTCAAAAGCTTTGCTTTGATCCAGCAGTGTCAGTTATGTTACATTTCCTTTGTCTAGATTTCCTAATGTCTTCTACAATTTTATAGCAGTCGTACAGCTCCTCGATTTTCTAAATCCAGTCTGAGCTTTGTTTAAATAATTTTACAATTCAATATACTTATTTATTTATTATTATTATTATTTATTCAACTTAAGGCTTGCCGCCTGCAGCTTTGCTCGAGAGTGCGAGCAAATCTCCAACGTGTACTTACGCGCCTAAAAAACTGAGGTAGGCTATATTGATGACAGACATTCCAATATCTTAGTTCCATTATCTTTTGGATTCGGATTCGTTTCCAGTAACGCAAACTCTTCTGTGTTCACGGGCTCAGTGCTTACTGACACCTTAACGAAAACAAAAAGCTCGGCGGTTAAAAACAACTGAGAGAAGATATCGCTTTTTCAAGCCCATTGCTGCCTTAAAAATGTCGTAGTGTGATCGAGTGAGTTTGCTCATTTACGTAATATGGGACCGTAATATATCAAAGCCCAACTGAAGTAGACTCAGCTGATTCTTATTTTCACGGCGAAGTTGTCCAATTCGTGCAACTCAGAAGCAATTTCCGCGTTTGCCTGGGCCGCCTTCCTTGCCTGCAGTTAAGTTCAGGAACTCTCTCAACATCACCCTCCAGCTGCATCGGATCTTACAAACCCAGTTGCTCGCGGTACACTCCTGGCCACCTATACAGATGCCACTGCATTTCTGGCAGCTGTTAGCATACCTTCGTCTTCCTCCCGGCGTGTCCAGACATTCTAAAATGAATTCGAGTGTTACACTAAACGTCGACAAAAGGCATCATGCCCCATTTGTTAAGGGAGCGACCTATCCCTTCAGCCAAAAGTGCGGCTCTTTAAGGCCATTTTCCTCCCGACGTTAAGCCCTAGAGTTACTTGCTTTGGCAACCCTAAAAAGGGTGCAAGCGTGCATTATAAAGGCTCCATGATTTTTCATCTTGACAACGCTCGTCTTCATATTCCAAAACCGGTAAAAAACTATTTGGAAAACAATGGTTGGAAAAATTTACCTCACCCGTCAAATGTCTAGACATTGCCTTTTGTGTTTATCAGTGTTGGGGTGTACCTAGATACTTGTACCAAGACTTGTACCTGGGTACACTTTTTGGTACCTTTTAACTGGGTAAACAAATATGGGACTACTTTTTACCTTACCTAGGTAAAGATTTTTATTTATCTTAAAAATTAGCTATAAAATTTATTTAGGTACTGAAATATTTTTATTCAATTTTATTTTCAAATTCGCTTCATACAACTAAATTGAATTTCGTATTCTTTTCCCCAATATGTAAACAAACAAGAAAGGACATTGCCTTTTCTGGTTATCAGTGTTGGGGTGTACCTAGATACTTGTACCAAGACTTGTACCTGGGTACACTGAAAAGATGGCTTTCAGCTTTGGTACCTTATCAACCCAAGGTGTTAAACCGGGTTAGGGGGCCCCTCGGGGAGAGATCCCGCCAGAAAAAAGGGGCTAGTAACAAAGGAGGAAGTAGTAAAAAAAAAGGAAGAGAAAAAACAGGCGTCTGGAACAGAAAAA